TTAAAGAATAAAACAAGTTTAATTATAAACTAATTCAGCATTGTCTTTAAACTGAATGATTTAGGCAGTTCCATTTATGATAGCAAATTGTTGTACACTGATCTCCTTAGAGGGGCAATAGACCTATTATGTCTGAATTGTCCGGGAAGGGGCTGCATAATGCAGAACACTTTTTTTTGAGGGACGGTGGGGTGGGGCAGGGAGAGAGAAAGAAATCCAGTCCTGGGAGTGTGTTGGGTTCACCTGCCTAGTAGTAACCAAGGTTGCGGAAAGCCAGAATGTAGCTGGTATTTGCCAACAGGCAACTGGGGTCAGAGTTGCTAGATCGGGGTTGTGGCTATACACAGACACTCAGGTCAGATCAACACTAGACCTTGAAGGTTGGCTTAAGGCCGTGGTCACCAACCCACTGATAGCCATCAACTGGTGGATCATGAGGCTTTTGGGGATTCTCTCTCAATGCCCCCCACCCCAAGAACCAGCAACAATGGAGGTAGTGCAGGCCTCCTGTGGGTTCGCGGGGTGGGTGGGGAGGAGTTCTGCAGCTGAGCGGCAGATCCTGGAAGTGCGTGGGCTGCTCTTTCCCGCCCCCCTCCCCAAACAGCCGATGCGGTACCTAAAATGCCAGTGTGTTGCATGCTGTGGACTTTCTTCCCCTGCTACGTTCCTGCGTGTGGGGGAGGGAAGAGTCTGGGACTGCACCAGTTTCAACTGCTTAGGCAGTGCACACTGCCATGGGGAGAGGAAGAGCAAGACGCATGCTGCCCAAGCAGTTGGAACTGGTGCAGTCCGGGACTTCCATTCCCCCCACGCAGGAAGGCAGCAAGGGAAGAAAGTCCCCGACACATGACGGACTGGCGTCTCAAGTACTGCACTGGCTGTTTGGGGGGCAGAGGAGCAGCCTGTGCACTTCCTGGGCTTTGGGCCACAGCTGCAGGATCCCCAGGTACCAGACCCTGTCCCCTCCCCACGCCCAGACCCCCACAAGTACCCTGTCCCCTGCCTCTGCACCCAGTCCCCTGCCTCTGTACCCTGTCCCCACCAGCACAGTTGGGGCCACATTAGTCAGGCTTGAGGGGTTTTGGATCTCACGTGTGTAGCCCCAACTGACTTTTCTGTGGGTCAGTGACTCCTGACTCAAAACAGGTTCCCCACCCCTCTCATAAATAAAGACAACGCTGAAACTTTTTGTGTTTGACATAATATTTTATTTAAAAATGAAGCCTGGCCAACAAGCCCCCAATTGGGGCCAAGCCCTCATACTCCCAACCTTCCTGCCCTGAGCCCCTCACGCCCCCCCAACCCAAACTCCTGCACCCTCACATCCACAAGCATGTGGCTTCCTCAGCACCCCAATGCTCCACCTGAGCCCAACACTCACCGGCTTGGAGCCCTCTCCTGAGCCAGCATCCCCTTCTCCACATCCTCCTGTATCCAAATTCCCTCCCAGAGCTTGCACCTCTCATCCTTTCCCACACCCAAATCCCTCATTCCCACCCCAGAGCCCACACCACCTGTCTCAACCCAGTGAGGGTACGGCTAGACTACAGGAGTTTTTCCGGCAAACATGCTCCTTTGGCAGCCCCTGTATTCCTCATTCCACAAGGAATAAGAGGGCTTCCAAAAAAAACAAAAAAAAAGTTTTTTCCCCCCACATTTGGCCCAATCTAGATGGGCCAAATGTTGGAAAAATCTCTTCCAATAGAAAGATTGAAAAAAAAGTGGCAGTGTAGCCGTTCTCTGAGTGTGATAAGGGCCAGGGACAGCAGGTGATGGAGAGAAGAGGGTAGGGCTTTAAGGAAGGGGTGGGGTCTTGGGGAAGGGATGGAGTAGATCTTGGCTTGTCCTGACATTTAAAAAGTGATCTTGGGTGTAAAGATTGGAGACCACTGGCTTAAGGTATTCAACTCCAACTATGTAGAACACGTAGCTCAAGTCAGCTTACCTTTAGCCGAGCTTGGCGGAGGCAGGAGGCTAACGGGAACAAATGCTCCTGTCAGCTTCCCTTACTACTCACGGCCGTGAGGTGTACAAGCACTGGCTGGAGCAAGCAGCATTCAATTTATGGATTGATACTAGATCAGAAAAATCAAATGCCAGAATGTTGATTTCCAGCATAGCGAGTGAAGACGTGCCCTCAGAGTGTAACTTACATCCTGCTTGTGAAGATTCCCAGTAGCAAAACAGTGAGAGGCACCCCAAATTGCAGAGAAGGGGTGACAAAGTCTATGATGGGTTTGTATTGTGCAGCACACTGCAGGGAAAGAAATGCTGAGAGAAGCAGACAAATAGGACAAGAGTGTCATCTATAGGGATAGTTGCAGAAACAGAGAGCCATAGTCAATAGTAATATGCAGTTCTGATAAAACTGAAACACTTCACAAAATTCAATTTAGTTTTAATGGAATTTCATTTCAGAAGAAAACTAGAAAAATATCAACAATGTCAGACTATCCATTTTGACATTTTCAAAACAAAAATATTGACTTTTCATTTTGTATCTAGTCAAAATCGAAATGAAATTGACCCAAAATAATTTAAAATTCACTTTGTGGAAGATTTTGGAATTTTTGCATTTCATTCCAATTGAAAATGAAGTCAAATTTCAAAATATCAAAATCCCTTAGAAAATAAGACTTTCATCCTTTGCACAACTCTAGTAGTCTGCTTATAGCTAGCTTCATTTTGGGATTTCATCTACTAACAATACAGTACGAGTTAAAATAGTTCAGAAAAAAATCTAAATCCAAACAGTTATGGATTAGTTTTAAAAACTAATTTTATTTTCAAATATTGTAAAAATAACTTAGCAAGACAAGATCTACAGAAACAATAGCGTCAAAACTAGGAAATCAGGTTGTTCAGAGAGAAAACAGTATTTGGAAATCCTGAACAAACTTTAAAAACAAGTTGAAAAACAGATTAGTTGGTCTAGTTTAGACTTAATGTTATATTAAATGACAGATGAAAACAATGGAGTTAATAGGCAGTTTTGTAAATCTCATAATTTACTTTATGGGCTTCAAACTACCTGTCAATGTACAAAGTATGAGAAAGTTTAAGGGCTGGGTTTTACCTATGGTGATTTTGAAGCAAAGAAATATCTCCAGAGTTCAACTGAGTGAGCTTCAGAAATTCTTCTGAAGAAAAACATATTGAGGAATTTCCTTTTATTTTAATGCATCAGTATGGTGAACTAATATTTTCTCTCTGAGAAAGTTAATGTGAAAAATATTAGCTGCATTTTTTAAAAATGAGTATTACGTGCACCTCTGTTTACTATTCTGCTGTCTGTTACATGAGTGCAATGAGTTAACAAAGGCTTTAATGGCTTTTTGCCATTATTAGAGACAGGCACACCAAAAGTTCTGAAAGTTTGTCTGCAGGAAGCCCAAGTCAATAATGCTAGACACAACCCCAAGTACTAATGCTTTGGAAACATCACGGCTGTGTCTACACTGGGCCACTTATTCTGGAAAATCAGCCGCTTTTCCGGAATAAGCTGCGAGCTGTCTACACTGGCCCTTGAATTTCCGGAAAAGCAACGATGCTCTACTGTACAAAATCAGCCGCTATTCTGGAAAAACTATTCTGCTCCCGCTCGGGCATAAGTCCTTATTCCGGAACACTTTCCGGAAAAGGGCCAGTGTAGACAGCCCAGTAGTCTTTTCCGGAAAAAAGCCCTGATCGCGAAAATGGCGATCGGGGCTCTTTTCCGGAAAAGCACGTCTACATTGGCCACAGACGCTTTTCCGGAAAAAGGGCTTTTTCGGAAAAGCAGCCTGCCAATGTAGACGCTCCTTTTCCGGAAAAACTGAAAACGGAATAGTATTCCGTTTTAAGCAGTTCTGGAAATTCATGCCAGTGTAGACACAGCCCACAGGTATTGAAGCCTTTGACATTTTGTCTCTATCCAAGTTGAGGACAACATACTGCTACCTAGTGGCAAGAGGGGCGGGAGTGGAAGCTATGGATACAGAGAAAAGGGAGTTGCCTAGTTTTAAAAAAAAGATTATTCCCTGAGAAAGACTTCATAAAAAATGTCATGAAGTTACCCAAGTCGTATACTCCTTTTCTGAGGAATACATTCATAGGAACATTACTTACATAGTCTGCTTTGTGACTATTGCCATGGTTCCCCTCTTTACCAGGCCATCACTTTCCTCATCTAAATTCCTCCTAAATTCAAATCTGATACCTCCAAGTAGTTCATTTTGTAATAGCGCTGAATTATTTCCTGATCCCCAACATGGTTCATCATTTGTTGTTCAGGCTGTAATAGATGATAACACCTGTCTGTGTTTTTTGTAAGACAAAGTGGTGGATATTGTCCTAACAGATTGTATCTGGGCTTGAGTATAATGGCGAAAGCCACATCTACACAGAACTAGAGGGACAAACTGCAATGATCACAAAATCCTGGACATGTTTTAAATAGGAGGGTAAGTATGTTAAACTCATGTAGTCATGAAGTGGGATTTTGAATACACCCTGCATAGAAAAGGCTTGTTTCCCCTTTTCTGCACCTCAATGATTTCCAATCACAGTTATTACTAGATTAATCTCTCTTCATGGAGGCCCATCTGACATATGTGGCTCTCATCAATTATCCTTCCTCCCTCCCCATTTGGCTTGATCTCGGTTTAGAATTAGAACATCTTTGAGGACTATTTGGAAACAGCACAAGAACTAAAATTTTTAATAGCTTTCTGCTTTGTATTAGGTTGATCCAAAGGTAATGATACCTACCATCAATACCCCAAAAGTCCTGGCATCATGTTAGCCAAGTAACAGTATCTCCACTTATGCCTTATTGAAACTGGCTCTCTTATCTTCAAGATTGAATTCCGGGCAATAAGCAACAGGGCATTTTGGGAGGAATTCTCAGCTGTGGAATTCATAGAGAATGTCCATTCCTAAGGCACATACATATAGCTATATTTAGTGCCTTATTCTTAACTGCAGTCCTTTGGCATTAGGTAGGGTTTGTCACTGTAACGTAACTTAAGGCACAATTTATTACTAGGAAGGTGACTTTCTATACCAACTCTTGATGGTATTTTAGCCCAAAGCACCAAGCTCTGTTTTGTCATAAGCCTTTACAATACATCATGGAAAGCACAAATGCTGAAGCTGAAGAATTTAAACATGATACCAAAGGATCCAGAGGGAAAGCAGCTGAGTAACTGCTCTCAGTATACACCCCTACCATGGGAGCTGGAGTCAGCTGGACAAGAACTCCTGCATTCAGACGGCATGCTAAAGAAAAACTATTATTGGATATAGGCACACCAAAAGCTCTGAAAATTTCAGAAGGTGAATTATTTGGCTAAGCAAGCAAGATTAATGTTCCAGAAGTCTACCCAAAATCAAAATAGCTATACCAGCTATAAGATGCTTCACAAGACTATTTCATGTAAAGCAGATTTTACACAGCAATTTAAGACTAAATTTTGAGTGCATGATCAATTTTAAAAAATAAATACCATAAAAATATGCAGCATCTCTCCACCACAACCAGTTTTACTACATACTTTTTTTTATTAAAACACAATTGTAGTCAAACAGATCATGTCTGTGAATCAGACCATAAAGTGGACAGCCTAGTGTGTGGAAATGTCATAAAGCTCATGGAGTACGAGCAACACTGTGAATAAGAAAGAGGCTGCCCTCAAGAAGGGGGGGGGGGGGAGGAGAACATAAATGTTAAGTTTATAGCACAGAAAAGGAGGTGTAAATATTTTGTAGTAGGCACATTGTTAAACAGTATAAAAGGAAACCAGGAAAAAAATATAGGGCTTTCATTAAGCCATTTTAGACACAATACAAACATTAAGGCATTAAGCAGGCTTGGTATCCAACCAGCTATGTTAAGGGCATCTTTGGATCAACGGAGATTTTACATCTAGAGGAAATCTCTTCTTTACCTGCAAAGCAAAAGGCAATTCAGTCATTTTTCTTCATAGAGGCAATTTACTAGCTAAAGAGCTGCTTGGTGAATTAACAATTGCAGTTTGCTTTTAGGAAGATGCCATGCTGTAAAGAAACCACAGTGGCCAAATAACTATAGAGTAGGGGTGGCCAACCCATTTAACAAAGCCAAAACAGCAGCAGAAAAATTACAAAAAGCTGCACCAGAATTGTCAAAAAAAAAAAAAAAAAAAAAAAAAAAAAAAAAAACCCAAAACAGAATTGTCGAGCAAAAACAAAAAAATTTTTTTTTAAAAAGGAGGCTGCCCCTTTAAGATGGCCGCCATCTTGGATGCCATTTTTAAAAACCCGCCGCTCCAACCCAGTAAGCACAGGGAAGCCAGGGGCAGCTTCGTGAGCCACACTTTTGGGGGGCAAGAGCCACATGCAGCTTGCCAGCCGCAGGTTGGCCACGGCTGCTATGGAGTATGGATAGAATTAATCTATTTGGGTGTTTGAAAGTTCTTTCTTCATAGATCTATCTCCAAATTCACATGATCTATGGTATTAGTACATTTATGTTTAAATAGGTCATCTTAGAAGCTACTAGCTGGGATGTTGTGAAATTTTACCTTTCAATATTTGTGCCTACTACAGTGGGGGAGGAGGGAAGGCAACATCTTAAAAACATAAATAAATAGGTGTGATGAGAATTTTGGAAGGTGGCCTGGAATTTAGTAGTGTGCACACAATCTCCAACCAAAGCCAAGGATGCACATCCAAGATTTATTTCAGTTGTAGTCTGCTTGGCAAATTTGTTCTGGAGCAAGAAGCCCACGGAAGGTTATGTGGCTTCAAGGATACACCAATGGCAGAAGAGACAAGCAAGAGATAAGTACCCATCAAGTAGCCTAGTCAAGGTTGGAACTTTTAGTCTGCTTCAACCTGAGGCTCTGTCAACATGCTTATGGTCAGCCAAGTATTAAAGTTTCTTGCCTCTGAACAGTAAACGATGCTTGGAAAACCATATTGTAATCCTACTTGATACCCAATGCAGTTACTACATTTCTTCTGTTCACAGAGGCAAACACACACATATGTAAGTAAGTGACACCAATCAAATTGAAGGTTAAAAACCCAAGCAAGCTGCTTTACAGTTCCTTATTACAAGTGACGTAGGAAGGCACTCAGTCTAATCTGGATTCTCTGGCAAAATCATTTGACTGGATTTCAATTTACTCTCAGATGAGGAACTTTCTGGTCATTCTGTCAGTACTAAACAGGAGAGGGGGATTAATATCTAATTTATTTAGAATGCCTTAAGATGTTACTTCATTAAAAGGGAACCATCACCCAATCGATACTCTTTGGGTACCAAGTCTATAATCCATTTCTCACTTCAGCAGGTTCCTGATGGTGGTGGTAGCACATTCCATGGGACAGATAGTTCATTATTAATTAAAAGTAAGATCCACCCTCTAGTTCAGGGGTCAGTGACCTTTTCAAACCAAGAGCCAAACAACATCAAATTTCAAAACAAGTGGTCAACAGAGCCAGAATAAGAGTGCCCATCTGCATGACTGAAAATACACAACTTAATATTATTGATAATTGACATGATGATTAATAGAATAAATGAATCATTGTACTCACAGACTTTATTTAATGGGACTTCTGCTGCTGGGGGTGCAGTTCATGGATGTGAGGGTGCAGAAGTCAGGGTTGGGGCATATGAGGGCTCAGGGCAGGGAACTTGGGGTGGGAAGTAGACTGGGAGTAAGGGGGGGGGGGGGCATGGGGCCAGATTAACCAGGTCTGGCCTGCTGCTCCTGGACAGCAGTGGCTGGACAAGGGGCTGGGCCAGGCTCACCACAGCCTAATCATGGCCTACCCTCTCCTCCTACCCATGTTACAGCAGGAGGGCGGGTCACTGCTAGCCCTTCCCCTTCCTGCAGGAAGATGGGGGCCTGACTGCAGAGCCTGCCCCAGGATCAGGGTTGGGGACAGGATGCTGCGGCCTGAGGGTGCTGGGGGCCCCCTGACTGGGGCCTTGTTAGCCAGGCTGCTGCGGCCAGAGCCCAAACTGTGCTGCTGTGGCTGGGCTGTTAGCAGCAGTCACGGGGACTGACCGCAGGGTCTGCCCCAGGAGCACAGCAGCTGGGGACAGACTATGGCAGTCAGATGGGGGCTGGAACCGGGCCGCTGTGGCTAGATGGAGGAGTCTGCTGCCACCAGCCCCTCTCACTATCCCAGCTGGGAGTGCGCATGTATCCCCTACAACGTGCCTTCAGCTGGCCCTTTAAATGAGCAGTGTGCCAACCAGGTCTTGCCGGAGTGTAGCTGGTTCACCTCTGGTTAAAGGTGAAATAGACAAAAAAAGACCATCTTGACTTGTGTAAATATGCATTTTTAAAATTTTAAATTAGTTTTTCATTTTGATTTAAAAGTTGTGTGTATTTGGGGAACCACAAAAGAGCTATAGGTTGCTGACCCCTGCTCTAGTTCAAACTGCCCATTCTATGGAGGGGATTATATTATAGTTCCAGTTCCCAGCTTTCTGGGAATATGCCAACCCTTCTGCCTCCAGTCAAGTTCATCACTCAGCAGAAGCAAGACCTAGCACAACCACACAAAACAATCCAGCTTGTCTGCCGTACAGTGTTAGAGCTTTCTAGTTCCTACTTTCAGTAGAATCTAAACAGACCTACACACACCATAGTCTGCCACTATTCAGATCAGGCTCAGCCTCATTTGGAAATACTGAAGTTTTGCTTCAGGGTTAGTGCTCAAAAGCTTTACAGTCACCATCCAATGGAGCTGCAAAGTCTTATCATCCATATGCTGCTGTTCAACTCTTTCAAAAGACAGAAAATTATAGTAGTGAGGGGGGATTAAGGCTGCAAGACAAAGGCAGAACAGAGTGCTTTGAATTATTCAGTGCTATCAGCGTAAAACACGAAACAATGGAATTGGTCCCCAGAGGACTTGTTTGCACAGCAAATCACTGTTTACATTAGGGATGTAAAAAAGGTTTTAAAACAGTAACTATGTAACGGTTAAAAATCCTAGCAGTTACATGGTTAACTGTTTTTGGGGATCAACAGCTGGATGGGACTAAGGAGGGAAGGATGGAGAGGGGTGCCCCTGCAGCTCCTGGGAAGCCACCTGCTATCCCACAGGCTCTGCAGGATAAGGCTTATGATTAAGGCTCTTACACTGCAGAGCCTACAGCACGGGCAGCTGGGAACCCTATTGCCTGTGGCCAGGAATGGTCAAGTTGTGAGTGTGCTGAGACAACTGCCTCTTATGCAACGATATTGGTGAGCTTGCTTATACTTAGGCAGCACATTCCACAGGACAGTTTCTGCACTAGAAACTTAAGTCAACCAATAGTAGGTCAATTTACAGTCACTGCAGTATGCGGTGGTACATGTCCACATTCCCCTTTTTGGGTGCTTAGGAATGTGAAGGGATAACCGGTAAATTTACTGGGTAAGCAGTTAACTGGCCACTCAACTCAGTTACCTGACCTAAAATTGACATGACCAACAAAAGCTCATGTAAGTAATGCAACATCCACACAGTCATTGCGTTGTCCTAACTCCCATGCCTCTCCTGGAGGTGGAGTTATATTGATGTAGGACACTAGCATTGTCAGGAGAAAGGGTGTAGTGTACAGACTAACACACTTACGAAGACATGAGGTGCCTTACGTCAACCTAAATGTTGACCCTCAGATTTTTGGAACATGAACTGTTTTTTTGTTCTGTGTTTGTATGGGTCTTAACACTATGCAATGGGTCTATGATTGAGGCTCCTGGGCACACTACAAATGATAAATAATAATGTTACTCTGGACAGCTAAGGTTGGAAATTACAGGTTCTGCAGGAAGATGGTCAGATCGTCTCAACCAAAAGAGTGTAAGGACATGGTGATTGTTAAATAAGAAAACCCACTTATGATGGGTGTCAAAGGAAAAAAAAAAATAGGAATCCTCACACACCCATGTTCTGGGCTCTAACTCCGTTGTTAGGAGAAACACAAACTGCTGTCATATGGTGTGGCACTCCCCTCCCCATCCTTTCAGAAATCAGGCATCCTACTTCTAATGTCTCAGTTTCCAAATGAGATTAAAGTACCCAGTTCCAAGCCTAATCCTTCATAGTTACAGCCTGTGAAAAAGACTGCTTCCTCTTGTGGAAATGCCAACCTATAGTCTATGCTATAGCTTGAGTTTTCAATGAACATTTAGCAACCCCAAAAAGACATAACTGGAGAAGATCTCCAACCATATTTACCTAGTCCACAAAAAATGCCGCACAGAGGACAGATATCCTTAAGGCCAGTGATACTGAAGATACCAGATTGTTTCATTGCTTAACTGTGGCCCAAAGAGAGGGTTGAGTTGGGCTAGGATCGCAATCAGCCAACTGCAAGGAAAAAAATGAAATTAAGTATATGGATGATGGAAACTTGGCCAATGCATAAAGGATATCAGGAAAAGGTAAGACAACATCACTAAAAGTCTAACACCAAGTCAAAATACTCCTAAGCCCAAGCTCCTAAAATCCGACACTGCTGGAAGAGTTCTTGCATTGTATTACATCTCAAGAGACTGTAGCATGTTTAGACTGAGAACTGTACTATTCAATTTAAAGTGACACAGTCAGCTGGATTTTACAGTATCTTCAATTCACTGCTTCTTGGAAGGTGAAGTGCTGAGACACATTCCCATCACCTGGGCCCGTGTTCCAACAACACTCCCTTAAGGCCTCTCTGAATGTTAGTAAAAGGTAGTGAGAGTTGCTAAAGTACATTGTTTCAAAATTAAGAGTATGGATCTTATTTACTTTAACCTTAATTGTGCCAAATGTTTAAATATACAGAATATAGATGAAATCTGAATTGAAACAGAACCTCATTCGAAATCAATAACATTAGGAAAAGATTAGAACAGAGATCTAGCAGTCTAAACAAAGAAACAGGAATTGAAAAATGTAGATTCTATTCCTGACCTACTGTACAACACTGGTCACATCACTTAATCTTTGTGCCCGAAATGCTCCCCCCATAAAATTAGAGGTGCTAAGCTTGGTATTTATGAGGAACAGTGTGATCCAATAAAAGGACTTAATGAAATCGATTGAAAGTGTAGAATCCACTAGCCTCCAATATAATTCTTATAAAAAAAAACTGAACAAAAGTAAAAAACTTAGAATTTAGAGAAATGGGCATTTAAATCAAAGAGGTGCAAAGGTACTGAAACAACATGAATGACAATAAAATCCAGATCAGCAGTAGAAGCCTCTCCCACAGTAGCTGACAGACTAACTCATTAGAAGCCACAGCCAGAATGAAGAAGAAGAAGAATCTGGGATGTGAAAAATATCCAGGAAAGCTGAACTGAAATAAATTTATTTCAGCATTATAAGATGTATTTGCTTTGCCTTTTCTGAGCGTGTAATATTTACAAAGAAGCCTTCTCATGTGCATGGATTTAGAGCTATGTAAAATACATATAAACATGTTTAGCAAACATACTGGTTCATCTATCTGCTATTTCTAGAATTTTTGTAAAGGAGGAGAAAAAAACAGCAGTTTTGCAGAGGAGCTGTCACAAATGTATCAGAGTGCTTAGGCAGTCATGGAAAATTCCACATAAACCTGGATCCTTTAGCCAGTGAACAAAGTGCAGGTCTGCTTCAAAATGTCTACAGCAGTCTTAGGCAAAAGATTCGGGGTTAAATAAAAGAACGGTCAATCCTCTTAATATTGACAAATTAAATATATGTACATTTCAGTGCTGCTTTTGGGTGTGTTGGTGTTATTTTTAATACTAAGATTAAGTAGGACAAATGCTATGTCCATAGTACAACCCCTCAGTGGTATTCACAGTTTAAAAAAACAACTGAGACCAGTCACTTTTGCAGATAAACATAATGGATTCATCCACCCAGGATCAGTAGGAAAACAGACAAATCATTCTCAGCTGAAGAACTGAAACACTCTTATTTTATTGCCCCTACCTGTAGTGAAAGTGTCACTCAGCATCATACACACCATATTGAACATAGCCTAAGCCTTTTACTATATCACGAAAATCCCTCAAGGGTTCATTGGTGATTTTCTCCCTTCCATCACCAGAACTCTATTTGTAGCCTACCTACAAGTATTTTTTTAGATACAAAGGCAAATTAGAGGGGTACCAGAGTATCATTAACTTCCTGAAGAAAGAGAGATTGGGGGAGGACAGGAATAGTTCATTGCTGTAAGAGGACAATTTGTTTCTTTGTACTGTACAGAGAAAGGAACTCCAGGCATCCCCACACATGCCCAGACCTTTCCCTAGATTCTCAGAGATTAGATCCAGAACTGCTGTGAAATAAAGTGGAAGCTCATTCTGAATATCGACATACCACACAACTACAACTATGCTCCAGGCAAACATTGTAATGGTTTCAAAAGCCTATTTGTTAGGACCATGCTCTGTACAGAACTTTTGAAGTATAGTGGCATTATAGTTGGGTATTAACCTGCTCTTAGCTCCATTACTTCCCTGCAGTGCTAGAGGTCTGATCACTGAGAATACAGTGGAAAGTAGGGGAGCACAGAATTCAACATTTCGCAAGATCGAATTATAGAAAGCATCCCCTCCCCCACCCCACACATACATTTAGCTTTCACTGGGCTGCTTTTACACTATAATCTATTATGACAAGGCACAAACAAAATGGGGCTTTCAGAATGCAATAAAGCACAACTCGATATCCAACATGTAATGCTTCTGTGCTGCTGAAAGCAGATTGGCATTCAAACTAGATTCTTGTAGTCCACATGCTACCTCCTGCAAAAGTCAGTGTTAATTATCATGCTAACTCAAAGAAATTATGGTTCCTCATGATCAAGTATAACCATATCATTTTATTACTGTACAGGCTTCAGAACAATTATAATTCTAAGTCCATTCTAATGGGCTGAATACTGCAATCTGTCTCTATAGCAGAGTTAGAGCTCAGGTTCTGTATTTGTTTAGATTCCAATTTGAGTAATTAAAGTCAGCCAACCCAATTTTTCCTGCAGATGCAAGTGATGGAGTAATTATTCCAAACTTTCCATTCTGAATTACTGCTATGTGCTTCCACACAGATAATATCTTCAATCTCAGAAGTAGCTTCAATGATCCCAATGTAACTGAACACCTTGGGTCTTTGATGAAAGGTACTACAGAAATAAAAAAGTTATCAAAAAGGCAATAGGGAAAAAGACCTAGAATGGACAGTTCAGGCTTTGCTTGCATCTGGTGCATTTTATGAGTTAAGACTATTACAAAAAATGGAACAAAATAAAAAGCCAGAAGTAGTTCCACTAAATATTCTGCTTTATGTCCCATTATGCTACTGAGGTTTTGGCTCTACACCCTTTAGTTGTAGTATACAGCACAAAAGGATAGAGAGTAAATTGTGTAGTTTCCCACCAAGCAACCAAATTTGACAGCACAGATAACAAGCTTAATTGGGATAACCCTTACCAATTTCAAAACAGAGCAAGACAGTTTAATTTATCAAATGGCAACAACTGCTGTTTGAGATTAATTGATTAATAGATGTATTTGGCTACTGCCAACTAGTTAAGTGGCATTAAATACATACAAAACTGAACTTCATGAAGACTGGCACTATCAAAAGTTAAAAGGAAAGGTAATTGTTATGCTTGCATTTTATTTAGTGCAGAATTTCAAGATAAAGGTTTTGTAAAAAACTGCATAATAAGGAATAGACATTTCAGCAGAGTGGTAAATCCTTTCAAGGGAATCTCAAATACAGAAGACTAAATTTGACATTAACTGCACTGTCACAAATAGACTGTATCATTATAATAAATACTTTCATACAAAGAATCTTCCATTTGAAATCCCGAAGCTCCAAAAAGAACTAACAAATGGAATGTAAGCGTAACGTTTCTAGAAACTATTTAATGCCCTCCCTCCCCCAAATATGCAACACAAGGCAATTAAATCTTGGAGCATCAGAAGAAACATCAGTTCTCCACATTCCTAAAAAGATAATTCACAGATGTAATTCCATATGATTATGTATTTACTAAATTTAGTTAGGCTTTGTCTACACTAGCCCTTTTGTCAATAGGGATGTGAAAAGACTCACTCCTGATTGATATAAGTTTTACCAACAAAAGCAAAGGAGTGGAAAATGCTATGTCAGCAGGAGAGGCACTCCCACCAACACAGCTATTACCACTAGTTGGAGTGGTTTAATTATGCTTGTGAGAAGTTCTCTCCCCCTGGCATAAAGTGGCTATACAGGAGACCTTACAGAGGTACAGCTGTGCTGCTTTAAGGTCTGTAGTACAGACATAGCCTTTAACGCATCAGGACTTTAGATTCTTGCATTTGGCAGAGAAGAAAAAGTGGAACTGAGAACGCCAGAAGACCACGTTTATTTGCATTTATTAAAATTAGTCAAGCTATCCCTCATTCAGCAATACACAAAACCAGATTATAAGCCATTTTAATAAAGAACAGTTTTACCACTGTCCTATCCATTGCAGCAATTGCTAAGCTATTTCAATACTTCCACAACTATCTTTATTTTGAGGATTTCAAAACTTCAATCAAGACAGTCATTCTGTCAAGTAATCATCTCCATTTTCCAGATAAGTAGTCTGAGGCACAAAAAAGTAAAAAGGACCTATTTCCTCAGGTTTCATTAACTGCCTGTGCTCAGCACCTAAAAAAAAAACCAGTGGTTTTCCAAGACCATGGAGCAAGTCAGTGGCAGGGTCAAAGTCAAACCTGGAATCCCAATCTCACTTTTCTAAAACTTCCAGCTCCCTAGTTTGATTAAACAAATGCTAGAGGGCGGTGCCCCCTGCTCACTATGCTCGCCAACCCTCTTGTCTCTGGGGGGAGGCATGCCCGGTTCTCCTCTGGGCCGCCAGGGAGGGCTGAGGCTGTGTCAGCTCCCGCCCTCCGCCAACCTCTCACCCCTGGTACCTCCCACTCCCTTCCTCTGTCACAGCCCCGGTCTTTCAGCTCCCCTCTAGGCACCCAAGGAGGACCGGGGCCAACCCAGGAGGGAACACCTCCCTCCCCCAAATATGCAACACAAGGCAATTAAATCTTGGAGCATCAGAAGAAACATCAGTTCTCCACATTCCTAAAAAGATAATTCACAGATGTAATTCCATATGATTATGTATTTACTAAATTTAGTTAGGCTTTGTCTACACTAGCCCTTTTGTCAATAGGGATGTGAAAAGACTCACTCCTGATTGATATAAGTTTTACCAACAAAAGCAAAGGAGTGGAAAATGCTATGTCAGCAGGAGAGGCACTCCCACCAACACAGCTATTACCACTAGTTGGAGTGGTTTAATTATGCTTGTGAGAAGTTCTCTCCCCCTGGCATAAAGT